CCCAATGCATGTGGTACCTATCTGGAAGGCCTTGAAAAAGATACTGTGAAGCTGGCGTGGTGGTGCACACCTTCTGAGGCAGAGGCAGGTGGATCTCTGTGAACCGGAGGACCACCTGGTCTACAGCGTTCCATGACAGCCAGGGCTACATAGAAAGACTCGGTCAAAAAAAAAAAAAAAAAAAAAAAAAAACTGTAAAAGAGAAGTCCTGTGTGCCTAGAGGAACCCCAGCACTAGCGACGCTGCTTGAGGCGTGGGTTTAAGGCTAGCCAGGGCCACACAACAGAGACAGGAATGAAAAAGTCTAACACGGTAGATGTTATGACATGGATGTCTTTATTTTTACTCACACTTGCAATCCCCAACACTTGGGAGGCTGAGATGTGAGGATGCCAGCCAGAGCTGCAAAGCTTATATCAAAACCCAATAAGGGGGGAAAAAGTTTAAATGGTGAATTTATGTTCTAATACACAAAACCCTAAGTTGAATTTTTCCTCACACTTGTAAACCCCAACACTTGGGAGTACCACAGGTTTGAGGGTGACCTAGGTTACAGGAGCGAAGACCCGCTTTCAGAAGCAGTGGTGGGGTCAGTGAGGTGGCTCAGTGGGAAAAGTGCTTGCTGCCAAGCCTTAATGACCCGAGGTTGATCTTCAGGACAGATGCGGTGGAAGGACTCTGACCTCCACAGTGCGCTGTGGCGTAAACACGCTCACACACACACACACACATGAAAAAATAACACTATGAAAATATGTGAATATGGATATATATACATATATGTATTATATTTGAAACACAGGAGCTGTTGCCCCTGTGCTGGAGGAAGGGCAAGGTGCTTACAGAGGACACTGAGACTTCAGGTGACATCGACGGCTGCTGCCAGCCCAGTGGGGGGGCACATGTTAACTGAGCTTTGTGGGACCCCCAGGTTGTTCCCCCACACACTGGATCTCTCAGGTTCCCTATACGAAGAGTCCCTGGAGAGCGGCAGGGAGCGGCTGGGAGGCTCTGTCTGCTGGAGGAGGGGGCCGTTCCTGGCCAGGGCTCCTCGGGGTGGTGGAGAGGGGCGGGAACGGTGATTCTCAAATTGGAAGCACATTAGTTGAGCGGGAGAGGGGAGGCACCGCCTCCTCCAGGGGCCTGTAAATTACTCCCTCCTGTGGAGAAGGGGAGCGGGTCCTCCCTTCCCAGCCTGGCAGGGTGTGGCTACTTGGCCGTACCCTCCTGGGTCCTTAGACGGGAGGTGGGGGAGGCATAGAGCATCCCAACCCCCTCCCCTGGCCCATTCTGGTCCCAACCAGAGCTCGGCCACTTGTAGGGTGGGAGCCTCTGGCAGCTGGAGAACAGCTGGCTGCCGTGGGGGTGGGGTGGAGGGAAGAAAGGCTAGGGGGTGGGGAGGCCCAGCGGGCCCTTCCTCCTTGTCAGCCCGGCCGGCCGGGCTGGGGCGCAGGGGATGCGGCTCGGGTCTCTGCAGGGCAGGTAGCCGCTGCAGCCTGCTCAGCTCGGCAGCCGGGGCCACCTGAGCGCCGCTGTGCCCTGGCCGGGGCAGCAGCGCTGGGGGAGCCGGCGCCCCGGGCTGGGCCTTCCCGCTGCGGAGGGGCCACGGGGCCTTTGCAGCCGCCCAACTCTGGCCTGCATTCAGAGCTGCCGGGCCAGTTCTGCCCGTAGATCTGGCCCCGGGGCTGGGAGTGGGCAGCCCGGGCCCCTTATCTCCTTGGGCCTCTTGGCCTCTCCTCGTCTCTGGCCCGAGGCCCCTTCTGACCCCCAGGCTGAGGGTCTGGGGGAGGGGGAGGAGGCAGGTGTGACTGTTGTGCAGGCGAAGGGTGAGGTGCGGAAGCCTCGGGACCGAGGAGAGGGTCTGGGGAGGAGGAGGAGCCGAGCCACGCCCCTCCCTCCTCCCTCCCCCTCCTCCCTCGGCCCCTGACTTCCTCCTGCAGTGCTCCTGCGGGTCCCACCTCCTTGCCTCGTCACCTGGGTGCTGTGGACGCAGGCCGGGGTCTTCTCCCGCCTGGGGAGCGGGGTGTGCAGCAGGAGCCGCTCTCTGCGCTCCCCGCACTGCCTGCGCCTGCTGGGTGACGCTTCTGGGACCCCCTGCCCTTTCCATCTGTCTGGGCCCATCTCCCCCTCCATTTCCTGCCCCTCTGTTCCTCCCAGAACGCAGCCTGCACATGGAGGTTGTCTCTGGGGCTGCACTGCTCGCACCCGCCTGCCCTTGAGGCTCCCCCCCCCCGCCC